TCCCTATTTGTGAGTGAAATTCCATACACTTTTTGCACTTTAAGATTGTATACAGACAATATTGCACTATTATGTGTCCCATTTTGTTTTATCTCTAGGAATATTTACTATTGTCAGCTATTCAAATAAGATACTCCACCTTATACTATATGTATACTCTGTGTGTGTGTGGCTGTCTGCATGTAACGGTGTGTGTGTGTAACATTGTATATGTGGCTGTATGTACGTGACTGTCCATCTGTACCTGTGTGAGTTTGTAATTGTATGCCTGTAACTGTGTGTGTGTGTGTGTGTGTGTGTGTGACTGTCTGCCTGTAACTCTGTGTGTGTGTGTGTATGTGTGTAATGAATATTTATTTTAAGATCATTATTAATTTAATAAATCCCCTATACAATCACCACACTTCTTTACACACACTATACATGGATGACATGTAAAAAAAGTCCAATATTTAAAATCATAAAGTGCAAAATCAAATTATTACAAATAATTCCGTGAAATAAAGCAAACACACTGTCTGTTACAAGATAGTTTTGTGAGTAGATGCGGCATACGCTGTTACTCATTGCCAAGCTTGGTAAGTAAAGTGCATCCAGTTAGGGGTAGCTCGAGGTAGCTGTGTACTGCGGTAGATCAGCTCCAGCCGTTTTTGGACAGTATTTCCTTTCCAGGCAAGCTTTCTTTTACCGAACAAGTTTTGGAGCTCCACCCCAAGTATGAAGTCAACATGTTTCGCCGGGTGCTGCCGGCTTCCTCAGGACGTAGTGCTGTTATCTCCATCTTGGAAGAGGGTATTTAAGGGCATGTTCAGCCTTATTCAGCTGTTCTGATTCGTGTGCTGGAGAATGCCTCATTTCCATATCGTGATCTTTACACACTTTACAGTCCTTCAACATACATACCATATGAAAAGTCTTTACTTTTTTGACAATTACAGTCTGTGTAAAGATTCGTACAATCAATGTCCCATAGTACACCCTGTTCCAAATTATTATGCAAATTATATATTTCTCATTTACCTAAATCATGGGTCGTCAACCGGGTCCCTACCGCCCACTAGTGGGCGTTTCAGGATTCCAGGTGGGCGGTAGGGATTTCCTCATTTTGAGAGATTGGGCGGGTGGGTGCGAGCCAGCGGTACCCCTGCAACCGGGTACCCTCCATCACCATTTGCAGCCCTGGCCCGCGTGGCAAACCGTCAGGGCTGCCGTCCAAGGAGTTCATTGGGTGGCCCATGCTGTCAGGGCCACCCGATGGTTATGGATTGTAAGGGGGCCCGGTCAGCGCTGGGCGCTTTAACAGCGCGACCGGGCCTCCTGTGATTACATCACACAGAGCTGGGAGGAAGTGACTGCACGTCACTCCTCCCAGCTGCCACACAGACCGTGCGGGAGGAAGCGGAGGGAATCAGAGTGGGAAATCTAACTCCCATCCACCTGAGCCACCACTGGACCCCAGGGAATGTCACCCTCCTGCACCTAAAAGGTAGGAAACAGGAGGGTGACTAAAATATTTTGAGTGTGTTTGTATGTGTGTGTCTTTGTATGTATGTCTTGTGTGTGTCTGTCTGTGTCTGTATGTATGTTTGTGTGTCTTGTGTGTGTGTCTGTATGTATGTATGTGTGCCTGTCTGTTTGTATGTATGTGTCTTTGTATGTATGTGTGTCGTGTGTCTGTATGTGTTTATGTGTGTCTTGTGTGTGTGTGTGTCTGTATGTATGTATGTATGTGTGCCTGTCTGTTACAGTGGGCTATAGTAAGTAATAGTAAGTGGGCTACCTAGCTCAACCTTCCTGAGGGGAATTGAGGAGGGAGAGGAGGGGAGCTGACAGACAGAAATTGAGGAGGGAGTGGAGGGGAGTTGACGCACAGATGAGAAATCATATTATGAGCAAACAGAGAAGTCTTCTGAATATCACCGAAAGAGGAGACCTTTGTTTGTTTGTTCCTTACGAAAATCGAACCAGATATCAAATATTTAGTCTCGCAGCATCAACCTCAAGGATCTCATTAATTTCAATGTAATTTATTGTTTTCTCAATAAACTTTATAAGGTTAAAAACATTATAAACATGCATAAAGTAGAAATAAAAAGATAAATGTACGTACATTTATTTTTTTTTTAAAACACCCTCCTGTCTAAAAAATATTCTGCACTTGTGTGAAAACTGGTGGGCGGTAAGGAAATTTTTCCATCAAGAAAGATGCATTAGTGGGCGGTAGGTAGAAAAAAGTTGACTACCACTTACCTAAATAATTGATGTAAATAACAGTCAGCATAATTCTCATGTTATCAACTATTAAGAGTACAATTCAAATTTTATTGAACAAACCTCCTAATGATAACAGTATTATTTTTAAACATAAAAAACTTACAATGCACTGTTCCAAATTATTACGCACAGTAAGTTTCAAAACACTCTATAGGTTGTGAAGAACTGAAAATTGTCATTTGTTGTGTTTGCTATTTCAATCAAACTTATAACAACATTTTCACTTTTTAAACATTTTAACAGGTCACGTTACATTTTAACATAGGACCCCTTATTTGATAGCAGCTTCACAAGTCTTGCATCCATTGAACTTGTGAGTTTTTGGACAGTTTCTGCTTGAATTTGTTTGCAAGATGATAGAATAGCCTCCCAGAGCTGCTGTTTGGATGTAAACTGCCTACCATCCTCATAGATCTTTTGCTTGAGGATGCTCCAAAGGTTCTCAATAGGATTGAGGTCAGGGGAGGATGGAGGCCACACCATGACTTTCTCTCCTTTTATCCCCATAGCAGCCATTGATGCAGAGGTATTATTTGCAGCATGAGATAGTGCATTGTCATGCGTGAAGATGATTTTATTACGGAAAGCATATTTCTTCCTTCTGTGCCAGGGAAGAAAGTGGTCAGTCAGAAACTCCACATACTTTGCAGAGGTCATCTTTACACCTTCGGGGACCCTAAAGGGGCCGACCAGCTCTCTTCCCATGATTCCGGCCCAAAACATGACCACCACCGCCTTGCTGATGTCACAACCTTGTTGGAACAGGGTGGCCGTCCACCATCCATCCACTACTCCATCCATCTGGACCATCCAGGGTTACACGGCACTCATCAGTGAACAGGACGGTTTGAAAATTAGTCTTCATGTATTTTTCTGCCCAAGGCAGCCGTTTCTGCTTGTTAGTGGTGGCCGAATAGAAGGTTTATGCACAGTTGCAAGACTCAGGAGGACTCTACACCTTGATGTCCGTGGGACTCCAGAGGCACCAGCAGCTTCAAATATCAGAAATCTTCCTAAATGTGCCTTTATCTGCATGAACCCGTTTGTGCTCTGAATCAGCCACAAATCTGTTAATAGTGCGATGATCACCCTTACAGTATCACTATAGGGTCAGGAACACAAACATGTATTCCTGACCCTATAGTGTTAACACCACCATCTTGCCCCCCTGAGCCCCTCATGCGTCCATAAATATAGCAAAATCATACTGTATTAATGCCAGAAGCTGTAAATCTTCATGCTGTTCGACTCAGAAAAACAAGCAGATTGCTGACATGTGGTAGCCTGATCCAATCACAGTGCTTCCCCATATAATTGGCTGAGACTGACAAAGAGGCAGATCGGGGCAGAGCCAGCATGATTCAAACACAGCCCTGGCCAATCAGCATCTCCTCATAGAGATGAATTGAATCAATGAATCTCTATGAGGAAAGTTCAGTGTGTACATGCAGAGGAAGGAGATACTGAATCACAGGATGCTGTGCACAGTGTTGCCCTGTGCTCTGCTGACAGCAGATCTGAGTGGATGGAGGCATATTATGCCTCCATCAACTCCGAAGTCCCTTTGGTTCACTCTGAGTGACTGCAACTGGAGGTGTTCCTAGCTTTTAATGTAAACACTGTATTTTCTCAGAAAATACAGTGTTTACATGAGAAAGGCTGCAGGGAGCTATAGTTCTCACCAGAACAACCTCCTTAAGCTGAAGTTGTTCAGGTGACTATAGTGTCCCTTTAAGTTTTTGTGAAATATCTAATGTTTTCATACCTCGTCCAAGGCATTGAACTATTTCACTCTTTTCGGTAGCAGAGAGATCCTTTTTCTTCCCCATATTGCATGAAAATGGTTGCTCTGCTTAATAATGTGGAACACCCTCCTTTAGTAGTTTTTCCTTAAATTGGGCTCACCTGGCAATCTAATTATCACAGGTGTCCCAGATTGTTTTCAGTGATCAAAAGAGCACTGAGACACAATGCCATCCATGAGGTAAACTGAAAAACAAAATATTTAATCTTTGTAACACTTAAATAAAATTTGCATAATAATTTCAACAGGGTGTATACTTTTCAAATATGTTGAATGAAGCATACTACATATGGAGTTTAAATGAATCAATTTCAGAAAGAAAAAATAAATATTCATGTAGTAAAACCACACATATTGCAAACACATATACATTTAGTTGAACAACCTAATTTCAGATGGAATATATATGCTCTAACATTTAAAAAGAAAAAAAGGGAAAATTAATAAATGACAAAACATTTAAACCAGTTAAAATTTATAAAATATGCATGTATGCAAGGGCAGACAGTTAAAATGGATGTGTATATATTGTCAAATGTTTTCACTCAAAATTTCAAGACAAGATTAAAAATTAAAAATTAACGGAGTGGAGCCTGACCATTGACATGCTTTGTCTGAGCTCCCGCGTCTGGGCAGCAAAACTGGAGATTACTGCGAGCCACAAAAGGGCTCTGACCCGAAACAATGACCAAACTACTCACCAGCCGGTGATATACATGGAGATACCGCATTTGACCCAACACAGCACTAGAGTTTCCAGGCTAAGGCTTGAGGCCCACCCGAGCTTGAGCTGGGGCGAGACGTTCGTTCCCCTAGTTCTCCAACCGGTATGGACCGATGGGGGTTATCCCGGTCCCCACGGGAGACAGCCCAGGCCAACCGCAAGGCTCAAGCACCAGCCCTGCAGCAAAGTGCGAACGTGATGGCTTACCCCAAGATGGCCAATGCCACACAGCAGCGTGTACACCAAAATGGCGACATGACTCGGAGCAAACGTGTGCGCTCATCGCAGAATCTGACTGCATCCACCGACTGCCTCCGGGATAAACCTGCAGATCCCCCCTTGCCACCAGCAGCAATGGCAGCGAAAAGTAAGCGGAAGAAGTAGGGTGAGAGGAGAGCGGGTCCACCTGGGCACTCCTTACAGGGCAAACCCCCAGCCTCACACGATGGGCCCATCTGGGCTGAAGACCACAAGGGGAACATCCCTAGAGCATCAGTCACAGATGCAGCTGACCCAACGCCAGGGAAGGCGTCGCTCCATCGGATTACGCTGCAGCCCCTCACAAGGGCAGAACTCGTGGCCAGAGGATGCAGGTCTTCAAGACGGCCCAGGGCTCCAGGGTCAACTCACCTGATCTCTGCACCCCGACCACACTCTGCCACTCAAGCCTACTACCAAGCTGAGGTGTCGGCTGACCCAGGACTTACACCCCAGCCTGATGTGCCAGACTCTTACCTGCCACCACACACAGCTCCATACCTGCCCTATAGCACCTGACAGCCTGACACACTTTCACCTGACAAATGTGACATGAAGCAGCACATGGCAGGCACATGCTAATACAAACCCTGGCATGACTACACTCAACGGCTCTGACCGACCCCACACACGTAACACCTGAGTCTAGACCAAACTCACAAACACACTGGGCCCTGAAACCCGTAGTAACCTCAGCTTCTAGACCAACAAGACACTCAAACAACCACAAAGCGAGCTTACTAGCATGCATCTTTAGCCTGTAACTATAAGCAACATGACACAGATGCTTTTTGAATATACTGTTTAATTTAACAAAAAGGGGAAGTTTTCCTTTTGCTCCTACTGTAACATAACGAAATGTGCTTGAGGACTGCTGTTGGGGCACCACTAGCTTATATGTTAAAATCGATATGCACAACAAAAATATTAAATAAAAAAAATAAAAAAATTAACAATTAAAAATTGAAAATATTTTTTTTTCTTATTTTTTTTTTAAGAAATCACTTAATTATTATTTTAGATATATAAAAATTACTTTCAAAAGTGGCAAATTTCGAAATCGTTAGTCAAGCCGTTTGGAGTCATGGTATTTAATTTGAATATCCACTTCATCCCTGTCCTATTTTTTTAATTAAAATCTTCATCCCTGCCTGTCCTATTTTTTTATTAAAATACCCTCTTATCAGTTGTATACCCACAAAACTTAACTTCATTGGGTCAGCATCATGATGGTCTCTAAAGTGTAATGATACTTGGTGCAGTGCAAACTTTCTCTTTATGTTAAATACATGCTCACATATTCTCATATGTAGTGGCCTTGTGGTATGCCCTATATAGTTCAATCCACATGTGCAAGTGAGTATAGTCAGTGGCGCACATACCAGGGTCGCAGGTGTCGCGATTGCGACCGGGCCCGGCCCACCAGGGGGCCCGGCCGCCCCTGCGACCCGGTATGTACCCACAGGGCCAGCCTCTTCCCCTGGGGGGCCCAGGAGCCGGCCACCTCAGGGCCCCCCAAGGGTGACCCTGCTGTCACACACACACTCCTGGGCGGGTGGCCGGTCGGGCAGGCAGGCGGGCGCGCGAGGGAGCACTCAGTGCTTCCTCTTCAGCTCCCTCGCGCACCGCACTGATGCCGGAGCCGGAAGATGACGTCATCTTCCGGCGCCGGCATTCCTACGCGGCGCGCAAGGGAGCTGAAGAGGAAGCACTGAGTGCTCCCTCGCGCGCCCGCCTGCCTGCCCGACCGGCCACCCTCCCAGGATCAGCACCACTGGACCCCAGGGAATCCCCCAGCACTCCAAAAGGTAAGGAGGCTGGGGGGATTAAATTTAAAAAAACAAAAAAACATGTGTGAGTGTTAGAGTGAGTGTTAGAGTGAGTGTGAGTGTTAGAGTGAGTGTGTTAGAGTGAGTGTGAGTGTTAGTGTTAGAGTGAGTGTTAGTGTTAGAGTGAGTGTTAGAGTGAGTGTTAGTGTTAGAGTGAGTGTGAGTGTTAGTGTGAGTGTTAGAGTGAGTGTTAGTGTGAGAGAGAGAGTGTTAGTGTTAGAGTGAGTGTTAGAGTGAGTGTCTTAGTGAGTCTGTTTGATGTCTGTTAGTGAGTGTGTTTGTCAATGAGAGTGTATGTTTTGTAAGTGAGTGTGTGAGTGTGTATGTATGTCTGTCGCTGAGTGTGTCTCTGTTAGCTAGTGTGTATGCGTCTGTAAGTGAGAGTGTGTGTGTGTTTTCAGCACTTACCTTTCTCCAGCGCCGGACTCCCTTGGCGCTGGGGATCCCTCAGCCTCTCAGCTCGGAATGAGACCGCGCACGCATTCAAACCGCCCATAGGAAAGCATTACTCAATGCTTTCCTATGGACGTTCAGTGTGCTCCTCTAGCGGCTGTCAGTGAGACAGCCACTAGAGGCTGGAGTAACCCTCAGTGAAACATAGCAGTTTCTCTGAAACTGCTATGTTTTCAGCTGCAGGGTTAAAACTAGAGGGACCTGACACCCAGACAACTTAATTGAGCTGATGTGATCTGGGTGTCTGTAGTGGTCCTTTAAAGGACCACTATAGTGCCAGGAAAACATACTCGTTTTCCTGGCACTATAGTGCCCTGAGGGTGCCCCCACCCTCAGGGACCCCCTCCCGCCCGGCTCTGGAAAGGGGAAAAGGGGTAAAACTTACCTTTTTCCAGTGCTGGGCGGAGAGCTCTCCTCCTCCGATCCTCCTCTTCTCCTCCCCATCGGCTGTATGTGCGCACGCGCGGCAAGAGCTGCGCGCGCATTCAGCGGTCACCTAGGAAAGCATTCTAATGCTTTCCTATGGATGCTGGCGTGCTCTCACTGTGAAAATCACAGTGAGAAGCACGCAAGCGCCTCTAGCGACTGTCAATGAGACAGCCACTAGAGGAAATAGGGGAAGGCTTAACCCATTCATAAACATAGCAGTTTCTCTGAAACTGCTATGTTTATGAAAAAATGGGTTAACCCTAGCTGGACCTGGCACCCAGACCACTTTATTAAGATGAAGTGGTCTGGGTGCCTAGAGTGGTCCTTTAAGTGTGTGTGCATCTGCATGCACTGGCGTACATACCGTGGTCGCAGGGGTCGCAGCCCTGTAACCCCTGCGACCAGGTGCCCACCGCCATGTGTTGCGGCCTGGCCCGCGCACCGGGGGGGCCCACGGATCAATTTTCGCACCGGGGCCCCATGGTCATGTGTACGCCACTGAGTATAGTGTATATAACATTACGGGAATTGCAGGTCATACCAACTCTAATGGGGTGCGTATGATTGTTTGCCAGAAATTCTTAGTGGCATTTCTTCCTTCCACCAGTCTTCTGGCAGGCATTGCAACTGCCACATTTAAAATAAACCTTTATACATGCTCATGAAGTTATTTTTGATAGAGTTTTTAGGGGCCTCTAAGATTGTATTTGTGAGGATTCTTATGAGTACCCTCCTATGTGTTATCTATGGTTTAGATGTCAATATGTCTTTTAAAATCAGGTCATCTAGTAGTGAGAGCCCATAATTATTTATTATTCTCCTTACTTTATTATTTTGCCCCCCAGAGAATTGGCAGATGAAAGGTATCTCATTGTTTATTTTTTTTAATTTTTGTTCTTATATTCCATTAGTTGTACTTTATCTAATCCCTGCATATCTAAGGGGGGGGAAAGGGGCAGAGAGGTCGGTTCCACCCCGGTTGCCACCAGATAGGGGGTGCCATGACCCTGGTCTGGGGGGCTGGAGGGGGCTGTGTGAGCTATACGGCTGCACAGTGCCCCATGGTAGTTAGGGTGCAGAACAGCTCACACATGCAAAGACTAGCTGAACTGGCTGCACGGAGGGAAACTGGCGGTGGGGCTAAGCAAAATTGGGGGTGGAGCCAAACCGGCAGCAGGGGTGGGGCTTAATACGGCCCTTATACACTGCTATTACTGCTGCACATGGAGGTGCAGCAAGAAGGAATCCCTGCTTCTCCACCTAACAGGCACCAGAGACTTCAGGGAATCCACTTCTCCTCCAGCTCCTGTCTGTAAGTAAGAAAGTGTGTGTGTGTGTGTGTGTACTTGTGTGTGACTGTGTGTGTAAAACTGTCTGCCTATAACTGTGTGTGTAACTGTGTGTGTGTGTAACTGTCTTCCTGTAACTGTGTGTGTGTGACTGTCTGCCTGTAACTGTGTGTATTTGTGTGTTAACTGCATGCCTTTAAGAGTGTGTTTGTGTGTGTTTGTCTGCATGCCTGTACTTGTGTGTGTGTGTGTGTGTGACTGTCTGCCTGTAACTGTGTATGTGTGTGACTGTCTGTAACTGTGTGTGACTGTATGCCTGTAACTGTGTGTGTGACTGTCTGCCTGTAAATGTGTGTGTGGGGCTGCAGGGATTTTGTAGAAGGGGGCAGGGGTTTTTTATTGGGACAAGAGTCTTTATAAGGGTGGCTGAGCAGAGGATTTGTGGAAGTGGGTTGCAGGGGTTTTGTAGACGGGGCAGTACAGGATTTGTAGAAGGGGGCAGGACAGGGGTTTTGTAGGTGGGGTGGGGAAGGACTAGGGTTTTGTAGAAGGGGGCTGACAGCAGTTTTGCAAAGTTTCCAAATTTGTTCAATACATTTAAAAAAAAATTTTTTTTTTAAATTACATTTACAGGTGTTTTTTTTTTGGGGGGAGGGGGGTGAGGGAGTGCCAAGCACAGGATCCGCCCCGGGTGCCAAATGCTTTAGGTACGCCCCTGCATAGAGATGTTCTTTTATTAAAGACATCCATTTTAATAATTAGCTGCTAATGCCCTTAAATACCCTCTTCCAAGATGGAGATAACAGCACTACGTCCTGAGGGAGCCGGAAGTACCCGGCGAAACGCGTTGACGTCATACGTAGGGGGCGGAGCTCCAAAACTTGTTCGGTTAACAAAAGCTTGCCTGGAAAGGAAATACCGTCCAAAAATGGCTGAGACAGTGTGTTTCTTGACTCATCCCTCTGTGCTTCCACAGATTGTCGCCATTTCTTTCTTTGAAAGAGGATTGTAAAACATTTATATTGGATTCCTGAATGGGTATTAAACGTAGATTTAAAATTTTAATTATTCCTATTACCTTTCTGCCTGAAATTAGGTTTATTTCTAACATAGGCAGTTTTAGTTACATAGTCATTAAAATCACAATAAAATTTCTTTTGTTTTATGCCTACTACGTTGTCACGGGTTCGTGAGCCTATTGCTGTTATTCCTTCAATCCTCCACTAGTCCTAATTCCAGATGTGCTGAATATAGTGAAAGTATTCCCTTTGTGTAGAGTTTCCCCAATATAATGGACACAACCAGTCGTATTGGGTAAAAGCAGCAAACTGAATGTTATTAGGCCACACTCGGCTTCTTATGCAGTGCCCCTAGCAAGGGGTTTCTAATACAAAATCACAAGGGTTTCCTTCCCACAAGGCATTGTGTTTGAGAGATAATTGAGCTCTAATTAAGCTATTCCAATTATAAAAAAATAGGAAAACTTAGATACAATTTTTACATATCACAAAAATACATG